GAGGACGCCCTTGAATTTGTAGACAATCCAGAATTCTCCTTGGCCTCAAGTCTTCTACCCCCAACAATCTAAAGTCTAGAAATGTATTGTCAGCTAGGGTGGATCAGGAATGTACTTCTGAAGATACATATCTCAAAAGGAGAAAACTGATGAAGTATAGTGGAAAGAGCACTGAACTTGGAATCCTAGGAACTGGATTCAAATTCTTACTGTACTACTTCGTTCTTGCGAGATCTTGACTAAGTTACCTTTAGGGTCCAATTTCCCCATGACTAAAACTAGGATCTCCAAGCTTTGAGTCAAAGGTCCTACTCCCTGTGATTTCATTTGGTGTAAGGAATTTCATACGAGGAAATGCCCCGTTGCTACCAGGAGTCAGCTCTGGCTCTGAAGTTTATAATCTTAGACAATTGCCTGGGGCATGAGAAATTAAATCAGTCACCCAGGGCCAGTATGTGTCAGGGGTGATACTTAAACCTGATTCCTGAATCCAAGTCAGACTGGCTATCCACTATTCCATGCTGCCTCCTCTAAGACTATGGGTGACATGTTCCTATGGATCTCTATTTATACATCTATAGGCATAAAGCGTATCAGTATTCAGAGATACAGTGACATATCTCTATGTCTATAGATCTCATATAGATGAGTCTCTCTGTATATTTATATGTCTTTATATATATGCATATAGACAAAAAGACCTTTCAAGGTATCTATCTTATCAATCTGTATCTTTCTATATATCCATCCATCTATCCATCTATCTATCTGTCTACCTGTCTTTCTATCTATTTATCTATCGTCTATCTCTCCCACTAGACTGTCAAATCTTAGGGAACCAGGACTATAACTGATTTCATTCCTGTACCACTCGTACTCAACATAACCCCTCCACATAAGCATTTAATATTTCATCAACTAAAGTGTCTATTTACATGTAAATCTATAACTACCTATAAAGATATCTGTAGCTATAGAAGTCTCCACTATTATTTTAGTAGAGGCTGGGTGGCTTTTGGTCAAACATCTGGCCTTGGAGTCAGGACCTGAGGTCAAGCCCTGACTCTCATACGTTCCAGCTATATGACCCTGGGCAAACCATTTACTTAATTCCTCTGTGGCTTAGAAAATGCTCTTAAAATTATCAGCTGTAGAGTGGGAGCTGGCCTGCACTGTGAGAGGGAGTTTTTTCAACAGAAATTCCTTAGACTAAAGTTTTGAATGTATGTATGTATTACTATCCATATGTATACTTCTATTTCTCTTTTCTGTCTCTGTTTTTATCTCTGTTTCTTATAGTTAGAAAATGCAGAATGAGTCAGGGAACACTTTGACTGAATTCTCTCTGTCTTCTCTGTCTGTCTGTTTCTGTTTCTGCCTCTGACCATGCTGACCCCTTAACCACAGTCTTTCTTGGCTTTTTTTGCCATTTGCAAGAAAAAGTCAAAAATGCTTCCACTTTGTCAGGGTAGGATTGCCCATAGGTTAGACCAGAATTTCCTTTTCTGCTTATTAGCAACCACAAACAAATTTTCAGTTTGTTTTGTCAATGAAGTCACTCTTTACCTAACCAAAGTTGGGGGGGGCATCAAGGAAAAATTCCATTCTGGAGCCTGATATGAAGTAAAAGTGCTTTCAAGGGATCCCTCAACAATGGTATAATTGATGGAGACAATGAGCTCCATCTTCCAAAGACCCTAACTAATGACAAGACTGAAATCTCTCTCTCTCTCTCTCTCTCTCTCTCTCTGTCTCTCTCTCTTTCTTTCATTTTCTTGTGCTCTATCCCTAATTATCTCTCTCTATATAGCTCAGCTATATATTTATCAACTACATTAATCTATGTAGATATAATCTATATAACTCTAGACATAGAGGTATCAGCTCATCAAAGCACTCCATGGCTCTTTTTGTATTTATACGTCCTATCTATATCACAGTAAGCAGAAATCAATTGATATTCTTATGTCCAATCTAGCCTGTCCTCAATATATATTCCATTGCTCTGTTGTTTTCAGTCATATCCAACTCTTCGTGACCCCATTTGGGGTTTTCTTGGCAAATATATTAGAGTGGTTTGCCATTTCCTTCTCCAGCTCATTTTACAGATGAAAACACTGAGGCAAACAAGGTTAAGTGACTTGACAAGGGTCACACAGTTAGTAAGTGTTTGAGGCTGGATTTGAACTCAGGATTTTGAGTCTTCCTGACTCCAGGCCTGGTTCCTTATGTGCTATGGTGCCACTTAACTGCCCTATCCATACTCCATACAGATGTTTCTATGAGAAATTAATAGGAATAGAAAATTCCTATTCTTAAAACAGAAATCTGACCATGCTATTTCCCTTCTCAAAAAACTTCAAAAGCTTCCTATTGCCTCTAAGACAAAATATATTTAAAGTCCTTCACACCATGGTTCCAACCTATCTTTGAAGACTGATTTTACATCATTTTCCCTCGTACATTATGCTTTTTAGTTAAAAATCAGACCATTTGGTGTATAAGATGTTTCATTTCCTACCTCTGTGTTTTTGCCCGTGTGGTTCCTGATGCCTGAAATGTTTCACCTTTTAACTTCTGCCCCATGGATTCCCTAGCTCCCTTCAATATATAAGTCAATTACCATGTGAGATGCACAAATTGAGAGACATTTCCACCCCAAATGTTCATATGAACTATTTGTGCCCAGCCTGTGGTAGAGCATTCTGAGTTCATGTTGGTCTGATCAGTCACAATCAGATACACTGTACCTTGACTCCAACATAGTGTTGCCATTTTGGTCCTCTTTGCCCCAGTCGGACACACTGTACCTTGACTCCAATATAGTGATGCCATTTTGGTCCTCTTTGAGAATGAAGGACAGCCAACCAATTAACCAACCAACCAAGCAATGACCACTACTTACATAAGACCTTTCCTGACACCCTTAGTTATTAGGACTCTGCCTCCACTGCTCAACTAAAATTTCTTGGCCTATGTTTTGTAATGACCTAACTGTGTGTATTTTTTTTTCCACACTGGAATGTGAATTCCTTGAGGCCAAGGCCTATTTCACATTTAGTTTTGTATCCTTGTATGGAAGAATGGAAAGAATGCTGTATATGGAGTCAGAGGACCTGGGTTCGTATCCTGACTGTCATTTACTGTCCATGTGACCTTGAACAAGTCCATTTATTTCTTTGGACCTCATTTTCCTCAAGCATAAAATGAAAGGCTTGACCTCTGTGTTACCTTTCACCTCTATATAAATGATTCTATGATCCTAATGCCTGGAATTTTTTTTGAATGTTATCCATGATTTTACTGTTATAGGGAATTCCATGTACCAATTCAGGTCAGCTCTTGCTCTAAAACTTCTAATGACTTACCCAGGGTCACATAGCCAGGATGTGTTAGAAGAGGGACTTGAACCCAGGTCCCCCTGATCTTGATGTCAGCTCTCTACCCATAGTACCATGGGGCTTCACACCTAATATATTCCAGGGATTTAATTAATGTCTATTAAATTGAACGTAATTTTCAAATGGGAGTAAAATCCCCATTTGTACACAACTTGCTTTCCTTCAAGCCCAAACAAATTTCCTTAGGATCTGAGTTCATTTAAATAGCTACCTTACTGAGGCATTCATATCTAATGTGACCTGTACTAAAATACTACCCCAGTGCCTCATTAGAGTTTGGAGTTGGCCACATGTCCTTGGAGTCTATGTCAACAGAGCACAAGGTTTTTTTGCTCCTACCAAGTAGATAAAATTTAAACTAGACTGGAAATGGGCTGTTTGTCACCTGAAAACCAGCCCAGTTAAGTATGGAAAGGTTGGCCATTGTTTGATGACTTTTTTTTTGAGTGTAGTAATTAGTGAAGACTGCCAATGAAAGAATTAGAGGGGTCACAATCTGTGTCAGTGGATGGATGACCCACAACAATAAAATGAATGGATCTTAAATTTTTTTTGAACTAAGTATGTAATGTATCTAATGCAAAGCCTTAGAGAAGAAATGTTTTTCAAAACGTGATGCTTGAAAAGAAAAATGAGAGAATGAAAAATTTTTACTTTTTGTATTTGTAGAAAATAAATGAGTAAGGATCTCTTCCTTTCCTTCTCCCCCTAGTTTAATGGAGGAATAGATGTGTGTTTTATAATGACTATAAATATTCTAGAACTTCTCTCTCTGTGTGTATGTATGCACGTATGTATGCATGTATGTGTGTGTGTATGTGTGTGTGTGTGCATGAGAGAGAGAGAGAGTCTGGTGAAGCAGATGGACCTCTTCTTAGAATTTTTTTTAATAATTGAAGGAATTCCTAAATTTCAGTTAGAGGCTAGTGAAAATCAAGATACAGGTTTTTTTAATCATCCAAGTTCATGAGCCCCCTGAAATCTGTACATGGACCCTAGTTTAAGAACCTCTGTTAAAATGTCTGGAAGCTGGTGATGAATATCCTATTATTCAACTAATTCTAAAGGCTTCCTCCTCATGCTGACCTCTTAACCACAGTCTTTCTTGGCTTTTTTTTTTGCCATTTGCAAGAAAAAGTCAAAAGTGCTTCCACTCTGTCAAGGTAGGATTGCCCATAGGTTAGACCAGAATTTCCTTTTCTGCTTATTACCAACCACAAACAAATTCTCAGTTTGTGCTGCCAATGAAGAGACACCCTTAACCTAACACAAAGTTGGGGGGTGATGTAAGGAAAATTTCCATTCTGGAGCCTGATGTGAAGTAAAAGTGCTTTCTAGGGATCCCTCAACAATGGTACAATGGATGGAGACAATGAGCACCATCACCCAAAGACCCCACATTAGTTAAAGGAAACAAATGATAAGACTGAAATCCCACAACACCATAGCTATTAATAACCCAAACTAGCATCACTGCCTATCTCGCACCATCTCATTTGCTAAAACTTGTGAAAAATTGTGATGATGACATTCAACAGCCACGTATAAATATGAGCAGCTGAAGGAGGCAAAGTACATTCTTCTCCTGATCATCAACAGGTTTGCTATTAGGAAAGAAGGGTTAATTCAGCTGAGTGACTTGCACCCGATAAACTTATATACAGGGAAGCACTTGGTTTATACTCTTCCTGCCTGGTTACCTTCTTGCTGAAACAATGAATTATTCGAGCTACCTCTTAGCATCCTGGCTTTGTGTTATGTTGGGTTATTCTCAAGCTACTATAGGAGAAGACCTAAGAACTCTTATGGAATACTTTGTAAGTATGAACTTCTAAGGGAGTATATATTTTTTTCTACCTCTCTGTCCTTGATTACCTTACTTGTTCTTGAAAATGGCTTACAGTTTACTTTCCTGGGTGTTTGTGATGGGTTGACATAAGTAGCTACAGCTGTTTATTTGATGATCATTAACCAGATTCTCTACTTCATCTGAAATAACTGGCTCTAAGCCACCACTTTATGTAGTCCTAATGACTTCATAAGGGAATTAGTATGTGATCCTGGGCAAGTCACTTAACCCTGATTGCCTTGCAAAAAAAAGTAGAGGTGAGGGATTAGGAAGGACTTAAAGATTTTTAGAGACAGGCAGTTTAGGAATGTGAAGAAAGATGACATTGTCAATAGTACTGGATATTGGGGGGGAGCATTTATTAGGAAATGGAACCCATGGTTCTGTCCATATTGAAAAGAACAATCACATGCCATGGATTTCAGGTTTATTGGACAACTGGGAAATAAGACAGGAATAAGGCAAATTTAGCAGGAACTAGTTTTGGTTATGGGGGAGATAGTCAATGAACAACTGAAATAACATGATCTGGAGTTCCTAGATACCCCACACCTCAAAATAATTGCACCATGTATTTGCAAGTCATCCATTGGCCCCTTCTGGGATAGTCTTAAACAGTCATTTGCTGAAATTTTTGTTGTGGTTATGAAGCCAGCTTGCTGTTCTTTTCCTTATTGATTAACAATTATGGGATCTTAGATTTAGAACTGGAAGAGATCTTAGAGATCAGTTAGTTCAATCTGTTCACTTTATAGAAGAGAAAACTGAGTCTTAGAAAAGTGAGATGACTTCCCCAAGATTACACAGGAGACTAGTAGGTTAAGACAGTAAATAACAGGAGCAATATTTGAAACCAGGGTCTTCTGATTCCAAATCAAGATTTGTCCATTGTGTCCACTGATAGGTACCCTTAACTGGTCATTTTTGTGTTTGAAATATTTTACTTTTTGGGACCATTTTTAAAAGTTTTGTTGCAGCTTTTAAAAGCACACACATACACACAATGCTTTAAACTTCTTGCTTTTGATCCTGTACAAATTTCATTTGGATATTCCCCAACACCCCAGTTTTTTTCCTTCTCAGCCTGTCATAGCTGCCATAGGAATTTGGCCAGGGTCAGAGAAACAGTCTTGAGTCTCATGCCCAAGGGGGCAGTGTTTCCTAGTGGGACAAGTCTTAGACTATTAAATCTAGCAGGGCCTTTTGATGTGAAGTGACTTTAAAAAAAAAAAAAGGCAACTGGTGCTATTTTGGTCAATTACAATCATCATCTGTGCAGAGTTCATTGGTGAGTGGTAAAAAGAGGTGTGGAGAAAATAGGAAAGTAAGAAGAATGGCATGTATTTTATCTCATTCATTTGCCTGTTTTTGAATACCTCATTGGGACAGATTGATAGAACTTGAATGAAGGTGGAAACACTACTTTCTTGAAATAAATGGGCTGGTTAACAAAAGTTGAAATCCCTGAGAACTCAAATAATCCTTATTTATGAATATAATCAGAACTCATGGACTTAGTAGGATATGTATTGTATATTTCACAGGGCAATTCATGACCAGATTAAAACACATTTACTTTCTCTTTTTTAGCAGAATGAAAGTACATCATCTGATATATCTGATAATGGGACTCTTTTCTTGAACATGATGGACCGTTGGAAAGAGGTGAGCTATTGTTCCTTATGCAGGCCATTTTCTCATCAGTTACAGTATCTTACACTCTAGTGCCCCATTGGGATACTGACCTCTCCCAACTTGCGCTCATAGGGCAAATCCCTTGAAGGGATAATTATCCAAAGTTGAAGTTGCTCTGTGCGTTCACACTCCTAAAACTATAGTTCACCCTTTCCCCTGCTCCCGCCAGGGACATTTCTAACATTCTCCATTTCTCTTTCCCCCTCCCAGGATGGTGACAAGAAAATCCTAATGAGCCAAATTGTCACAGTTTATTTCAAAATCTTTGAAATCTTCAAGAACAACACCATCATCAAAAAAAGTGTGGAGAACATCAAAGAAGATATGATCATGAAATTCTTCACTAACAACACTGCCAGCAAGGTGAATGACTTTGAAGCGGTCATCAACACTCAGGTGAGGATAGTGAAATTCTATGGCTGGTTTTCTAAACAGAATTTGGTTCAAAAAGGAGATTCTCAGTGTATGAATAAGCCAACTCAATGATAAGGTGTACCTCTGGGGATTGAGTTTCCTGACTTTGCCAAATATTATCCAAGAAGAGCAATCACGCCTCCTAGTGTTAGCTTTAGAAATCGTCTGGTAGCATAAGTGTGCAGGACTAGTGGGCTAAATGTCACCTCAATGAGATAAATGATGCTGTGGCCAAAATTCTTCCCTTCAAATTGAGGTCATGCTTCATGTGGTTTGGGGGAAGGTGTGTGACAAATCACATAAATATATTTCTGGAGAAATGCTGGTCATGATGGTAAACACTGAATCCATGACCACAGGAAAAGTTGATCAAGATCGGGTTGAATTCACTCTTCAAGGGGTGAATAATAGCTTGTGTCCAGTCTCCTCCCAATGAGAAGGAGAGAAGGAGAATGGAAGGGTTAGGGAGATGTTGGTCATTGAGAAGAGTCTTATTTAGCCTTGTAAGATTCTCCTATTCTTCATATGAAAGAAAAAGAAGCCTGGGCCCTGGGGTAAGCCACTTAGGGGATTAGGCTGGTAGGCTCCATTTTTTTATGCAGAATAGTGCAATGTAACACATAGCCAAGATTTTATCTAACCATCCATCCATCCATCCATCCATCCATCCATCCATCTATGTATCTATATATCTGTATCTATGTATCTGTGTATCTATGTATCTATCTATGTATCTGTCTATTTATCTACCTGTCTGTCCATCCATCTACCCATCCATCCATCTACCCATTCATCC